TACATATGCAATCGAATTTGACGAGAAAGAATGAAGAGTCAGTTCGATGAATGCAAACAATGAGAATAATCGCACGTGCTCTTCAAGCTTAAATTGCCTACGTAGGATAGTAGAGTCGATGATATCTTGCTAGCTGTGCATTCGAATGTAACGAGAGGGAGTGAGAAAGTGAAAGAACGAAAAAAAATCATACTATTAAAATGTTGCTGATGACACCTACGAACATTTTATATTCGATCGACACCTAGTAAACTCCACTCTGCTTTAAAAGAAAGTCAATTTTTATTTAAAAAAAAGCGTCATAACAAAGATAAACACACAGGGAAATAGTCAAAAGTCTACTGTTTCAAATGCAGTATGATTTTTTATTTAAATGATCGTTTTTTGAAAAACATTTTCGACGATTGCCGGAATCCCATATGTTACAGTGATGGCGTATGTGTATATAATCTCTCATTCATTATCTTCTATCTTCTTTTCATCTCTCCTTAATCTTCAATTGATTCCTCTTTCTTCTAGTTCTTTCTATACATATATAACGTTATAGTTCAAGTTTGTACTTAGATTAGCTCTTATGCAATAAAGCTAGCGTGCACGTACTTCTAGACACATATACATATATATAATCTAAGTTAGAAATATCCTATGGCTAGGGTTGGCACTGACATCAATTGGGTTGAAAAATCCACGCTTTAGCTCTAACTCAAGCCAGTGGTTTGAACAGGCTATTTGAAAAATTTCAACCTTGACTCACTCATCTAACTTTTAAACTGAATTTTGTCGGTTGATCCAAGGGTTATCCTTTGGTTAACCGATGAAATAATTTATCTTTTTAAGAAATGATTTACGAAAAGATGTGTTCAATAAGGGTGTGGTCACGATATGGCATATGTGATCAATTACCTGGTCGATATTTTTTCTTTGGCTGAATGATCAAGCGTGACACATAAAGAGGGCATATCATCTTCTGTTTTCTGCATCGTCGAAGTAGATTTCACTGTCTCGTTGACTATGTCCCTTGTTGTCGCCTAGTAATTAGATTGCTCCATGTCCTTTGTTCATCATATATCTATCGATTCTATATATTCGCGACTTTGTTAGGTGCATATATATATAGGGTGCGGGGGTTCATTTTTCTTTACATCTACATATCAACAATCGCGAGCACTGATAAAGTAATTCTGCGATAAAAATTAAGCTTATTTACGTCCTAATTCTAAGTGATGGCTTTCATGTTTGCAGAAATTATTAAGTAAATACTGTTGCCACACAAAAGCATATGAAGACTTATGACGATGTTTCAAGTAGAATTGACTACCGACGAAACTCAAATCATATGCATCACAGCAGCTAATATTGTGGCTGGAAAATAAAAGGGAAAAACACGACAACTTTCATTGCATTACTGAACGACAAAGCTAATGCTCTTTTTTTTGTTGCTAGACACCAAATGATATTTACATGGCCATCGGAAGAACGAAAGAAAAGCTTTATTACAATCGTTAGAGTTCTATTAGCTTTCGTGCCAAACACTGCAGGACAGTCTAAAAATTACGGCAATATTCGCTCACGTAAAGGGTGTGCATGTTGGTGTGTGGCGTGGCTAGATGGATCAGGACACTCATACACCCACACTTAGCCACCCATATCTGCATTCCATATCCACAAGCGCTCATACATCTACACTCAAGTTTCATTAAATACAGGAATCACGGATCACAATTGATAAACAAAATGAAACTATCAATCTTGCGTTTAGAAGCTGGATGTGTTAGCTGCTTACGCCACAAGAACCCAAATGTTGATAAAATATTGTGAATACTTTTCATGATACGTTCGCATGCTACAAATCTTTGCACTTGATTTCAATTGAAATTAGACACTATTGAATGATTAAGATATGATAAATATGGTAGCTTTACATTCGCAGATAATCATGTGACGTATATTACAATAGGAGGCGAGAATTGGGTCTCCGATTTATGATGTATCATTTGATGAAAAAATGTTTGTTGCGTTCAAGAAACTAACAACCAACATTCTAGAACAATCAAGAAATTATAAGAAGTGTAGGTGTGGATCTAGGTCTTCTCATCTTGTTACACACTAATACACAAGCGATGTCCACATTAATACTTTGTTGTTAGATGTATTGTTCCTTAATAAAATCTACCAAGCAATGGATTTTTTTTCAATGTTATTAAGCTTCTATGTATTCTTCTCATATTTAAATGTTCGTATTGATTACATTTTGTGACAACTATTGTCAACTATAGGAGAGAAAGAAATTTAATTATTTATTATTTCAAACAGACTATATAATATGAGTAAGCTTATAATATAACCATTCATCAATTGATTATTCCAAAGTTTGAGTAAATATATGTAAGACGCACGAAAAATAATAAGTTTGTGTATATTTTATCGCTATCTCTTTACTAGAAACAAAATATATATTAATTCAAGAAGATTCGTCGAAAAATTGTGGAGAAGTCTATTATTGTAATTTATTAACGGTAGAAAGAGTACATAATGATGAACTCGAGTATTTTTCAACAATATTAGATTCGTCAAGAAAATCAGCAGCCATTATCATTATACTCTTCGTCAACTCGTTTACACGTTGCTAATTCAAAGAATTTATTAGTATCTTCATCAACAAATGTAACAAGAAAAGAATTTCGTCCATTAGAAAAAAAGATGAAGAAAAAGAAAAACATTCATTTAAAAGGTTAGAATGTTAAGTTTTAAATGATGATAAAAAAGAATAATTGAAACTCTTCGTACTATCCAAGTTATTTATTGTAAAGATCATCATCGCTTAACATGACGTCGATCTTTTCCCGTTCTTTCTTTTGGTTTGATACTCTATGTTTAGAAATTATCCGTACACAGGTTAATTAAAATACGAATTCGCCTAACTTCTGTATCTATTTTTGGTTCAATTAGTTTCTATCGAGATATTTCGCTTGATTCTCTCTAATGTAAAAGTCCGGGTGTTTTTGTCTCATATCCTACTCATTGAAATACGTTAGACTGTTTTCACGATTCTTTCAAATAATACACATTGTAAGCAGCAGACAATCACATATGTATACTAAATTTTTCTAGTCAAAATTGCGTTGAGTATGGATATCTTCAAAAATAGCAGATTCCATACCACAGATCCTTTACAAGGTCCATTGTCTTGTATTTCCAAATGACTTACTCTCACTAAAGGTGTAAGATCTATAAGAAGTTCTACTCCATTTTTATTTTAAAAATATAAACAGATGGGTAGCTGCTCCAAGACATAAAAAAATTCTTATGTAACCATCTTGAGTTATATATATTTTTCTCAAATCTATTTCTTGAGTTCGAACTCTTACAGGAATAGTATTCTAATATGCCGAACAAATTTTCACGAAATAAATGAACAATTTTCTTAAAAATTTCTATCGATTTATTTATTGGAAATTGGAAATTTAGTCAACCATAGCCAATTGAATAGAAGTATCCTCGATAACTAGATAGAAACCTACATGATTAATAACAATTTATGTTTCATGTTAAGATGATTTGATTTCTAGCCTACACAAGAAAAGAGTCTATAAGTTTTCTCATTTGGCCGAGATGAACACGATGAGCCTTCTCATTGTTCTTGGACTCAGGTCAAGTGTTTTCGTTATATTGTCTAAGTCATTTGCGAAAGAAAGCACAAGAGTTAATTGATGCGCTTATTTACTTTTCGTCTTTTTCATGGAACAGATTTTTTGTTTTTACAATGTCAATAGTTGGGTTTTTCCAATATACAAAAAACTATCACAAAAGAAAACCTAAGCTGACGTGTAGACGATTATACCATGGTATTTTCGATATCTAAAGTCGCATAGACAATTCCCGCCGTGTTGTGGAAACAGATCTGAGTTTCTAGAGAATACAACTTTATCATTATCTCATTAAATCTGTTCAGTCACTCATGACTTTTCAACTATCTCTGTGAAAGGTGAAATGTTTCGGATGACATCAGTTATTGTACCACGCCTTTATCTGTCATTTTGCATCCACCCTACATATGATTCGTTACTATTGATTTAGAAGCAACGATATATCTTTTCTTCATTGAATACAATCCAACGTTGAAAGTTGATGACAAATCATCAAACTTTCATTCTGCATCCTTCATTCTTCTTGTGAGTCTTACACATGTCGGAGAAAAGGACAAGTCTTCACTTGCTATGTGATAGACTTCTCTAAATGCATGGTGACAGTCGGAAAGAATCAGATCCCTAATGATGGGTTTGTTGGCAACCGAAAGCTAGCTATCAAGAAACAATTTTTGTGTGCATATCGACACATACGATACATACTGCGATATATGGGTTCATTCTATGAGAATTAACTTCTCGACTGCTCTTCACATACTCAAGTCTGTTGACAAAAAAATGTGTGCCTTCATTTTTAAATGAACCATAGTGTGTAAACATGCTCGAATACCATGGTAAGAAACTAGCAGATTTTGTAGCTATTTTCCTCTGTTCGTCGATCATGGCAAGTGTTAATATTACTTTATCATGACTATCAAATTGCCCAAATGTCTCCTGTAGAAATTAAATGTTTCTAGATTTTCTCTTCATGCAAAATTCGAAAAGCAACAAATAATTCTATAACAGAATGACACTAGAATTTTCTTTTTGAGGTACTAAAATAAAAATATGTTTCCACTTTGATGATGATGTTTAATATATATAAAGATTTTGTTGTTCTGAATAAATGCAGAACATTGAAAAACACGATAAAATTATAAATATACAAAGGAATAGTAACAATGTGCTACACCATCCAAGATAATGATATAACAAACATGTGCAAAGAAGATAACACCAGGTTATAACAGCTTGTGTGAAGTCGCAATTCAATTGCACTCTCTTTTATCATACAATAAACGAAGGTGAATAAAAGATGCGATAAAAAACTCAAAATCTAGTTTTGAATGATCATCTTTTTAATTATTAATATAGATGCAGTTGATTTCGGTTTTTGCTATTCTCGTACTCGCTTCTAGCTGTACATTGGCTCTCGATGTTACTCTTAATCAACATTGGAAATTATGGAAAGAAGCTAACAATAAACGTTACTCCGATGCTGAAGAACATTTTCGGTATGGAATATTGATTTCAAACTGCAGATTTCATTGATTAATTATTAAAAAAAATACATTATTTTTCAGTCGAGCTACATGGGAAAGTAATTTAAAGAATGTGCAAGAACACAATCTTCAAGCTGATCTTGGCGTTCATACATATTGGCTCGGAATGAACAAATTTGCTGATTTGGTAAAATTTTATAGATATTAACACAAATTTTATTCTGTATTAAAAAAATAGACTGTTACTGAATTTGCCAAAATGATGAAGAATTACAATATCGAAATACGTAGTCAACATAATAAAGGTCCTCATGAATTTACACGAAACCCAACTGTTAAATTACCTGATACTGTTGGTACGTGTAAATATTAATAGAAATTACCTACTGTACGGCAATTATATCGTTTCTTTACAGACTGGCGTGATAAAGGATATGTTACTCCTGTTAAAGAGCAAGGTCAATGTACTTCAGATTGGGCTTTTTCAGCAACTGGCTCACTTGAAGGTCAACACTTTAATGCAACTGGCAAACTAGTTTCGCTTTCAGAACAAAACTTGGTCGATTGTTCAGATAAACAAGGTAACATGGGTTGCGTTGGTGGGGAAGTCGATCAAGCCTTTCAATACATTAAAGACAACGGTGGTATTGATACCGAAGACTCATACCCATATGAAGACGACGATAATCAATGCCGATTCAAAGTAGAAAATGTTGGTGCTACTGTTACTGGCTTCATTAATATTCAATCAAAAAATGAAAGTGCTCTTCAAGAAGCTGTTGCTACCATTGGTCCAATCTCGGCTGCCATTGATGCTAGTCATAACTCATTTCAATTATACAAACATGGTGGTATGTATGTTTTGTATTTGTGTGAATTTCTCAATCATTTCATATTGCTTAATTTAGTTTATCACGAACCATTCTGCTCACAAATTCACCTTAACCTCGCCGTTCTTGTTGTAGGCTATGGTACAGACTCTGGCAAAGATTACTGGCTCGTCAAAAATAGGTAATTGTCATAGTTGATTTTTATTGAATATTTCACCTATTTTAACTTATCATTATTTCTAGTTGGGGTGTAAACTGGGGTGATCAAGGTTACATCAAAATGACTCGTAACAAACGCAACGAATGTGGTATTGCTACATCTGCCAGCTACCCACTTGTTTAGAAAATATGATTTAATATTTTTTTTCTCCTTATTTTTCTTGATTTTTTTTTTGCATTCAAATAACAACAATATTAATATCATGACAACAAAAAAGGGAAAGGATTGTATATCTTATTATTTATTTATAGAATGACACTACACTTTTAGAAATCAAGGTCAAACACATACTAGATGAAGTTTTTTCATCTCTATTTTCCAATAAGCATAGCAAATAGTGGTCAAAGTTAGATATGTATAATTGAACGTTATATATACTTGTCAATGATAATGATAACAAGCAAACGAGAAATATTTGTATGCTTGTAAGCGTTATGTAAATGAATCAAGTGGCAATCTACAAGATCAAAACGATCGACGATAGAAATATAAGAATACTTCTCTTTCATCAACAATGTAGTATAATCAAGAAGAAAACTATTGAATTCTATCATGAATACGATTCTTCGTTTCTACGAATTGTGATTGTCTCGATAATCAACGTTCGTTGTTTTAAACGACACTCTATAGTCGAGTAAAACTCGAATGTTATTCAGTTGCCAATGAAAATATTTCTAAATAATTATTGTAACAGAAATCTGAGTTCAGATTCATACTTCGCGTCAAATTTTACATCATATAGTCTATATCAGAAGTATTTTGTGTTATTTACTGTATGATTCAGATTGTGGCATCTGGTCCAATAAATCATAACATAATAATTAATGGTAATTTTGATCTCTGGTTAGATATTCGATCTTATAGTGACTCAAAAGATAGTATAAATAGTACAGTTTATCAAGAAAGTTCATGGTTTTCTTCATTAAAATTTCTCCATTGTCACGATAAAAAACTGAAATGCCATCTGATATACCACAACATATTTATAATAAAATGCGAATAATTATAATTGAATTTAATATAGTTCACGATGATGCATCACTATACTTACACTATCGTGTGATGAACAGTGGAGTCATTGGTAAAACTTCAGTTCGATTAGATGCATTTAATTCAAATAATCCATCAAAAACAATCAGCTGAAAGGCTTTATATGATAACAGTAGTTAATATTGATATGAATGATAAAAGAGGCTATTGGTTAAATGAAGGTGTTTATGATCCAACTGCACCCGAGTTTGATGCAACTTTTGAAATTGAAGCGAACAATGATACATACAATCAAGGTTATTACCTTGATCATACAAGTTATTCAATAGAGTAAAATATATAAAAATAAGTTTATATTTCGTACTGCCTCTTATATGTTAAGCTTAATATATTTATTAGAAATATAAGCCAACTCCAGATGAAATCAAAAGATGTTTAGATGGACTAGATGAATTATCTGATCCATATGATAATAGTTATATTTGTTTTACTAAAGATTCTTCATCTGGACTATTTAATAGCATTTTAACTTATGCGCTGAGTAGAAAAAGTAATAAATTGGAAATACGGGCTATATTTCAAGGATTTTTATTAAACAAAGATACAGACTTGTCAACTTTACAATTGGAAATGACAAAAAATATATTACTGTTAGAGACAAGTCAAGAATATTCATTCTCATGAAATTGATGCTCAGATACTGCATCAACAATTCAATACACATCAACACAAAGATAAACGATGATGCACTATATTTTTCGTAACTCATCATAATAACTTCTTTTTACTGATATTCTACTCTATTTTCTTTTTTCGTGCTGTTGAGTTGCTAAAAAACAGTTATTAGTTTCAACAGGTTGCTCAATAAATTGATTAATCTGATTCAAATAATATTTGAATTTGATATTTAAGATATAGGAGACCAAATGGATAAGGGTGTGGATGTGGTTATCAGTGTGGGCTTGTCATTACGCACACTCACACTCTCCTCCTGAATCATCTATTAATCTACCATGAAAAACAAACAAGTTATTCGAAGTTGAAATGCAAAACAGTGTCTTCTACTTTAAAAAGCGAACAGTGACAAGCTCATAGTTAGTTTTAGGGAGGCCGATAATAAATGACAGTAGAACAAGAGAATATTTCCACAAATCGTAGGCGTAAATTGCAGAAAATATATTGTCTGGCAGTAATCAAAACTATTATGTAAATGTTTGTCTGTTTCTATAAAATAGAAACACAATCTCTTTAGCATTTAGGCAATGTCGTTGTGCACAGAACCCAATTTCATTTGCAGCAGATTCTGCAGATGACGCTACTATTTTATTTATTTAAGTATTTTATCTTAAATACAGGATAAAAGTGTGAATTTATGTTGAATATATTTTCCTATGATAATATTTAATAAAAAATAAACTTTGATTTTACAATCAACGTGTTTCACATATTGATAGAGTGCTCTATATTCCAATAAAACTTCTCTTGTATGTATCCTACTGCTTGAGTTTACTTAACTTACAAAGTAATTGATCATGGAGATTTATACGATTTTCGATAAGCTTTCAAAAAATATCTTCGAAATCAAATTTCAAACCCAAGGCTTATTTGTTCCAAGATGAAAAACTTGGTTTATCAATTCTTAATTTAATAGCAGTTCCTAATATCAAGGACACCGTACGTTTATTTTTGCATAACCTTCTCAAAATGTATATTTTTGATTATGCTTTCAGTTGGCTTTACATAAAGTTAAATCAATCGATTTATCAAATAATAAAATTGAATAATTATTCAGATGTATTGTTTGTCTTCTCACATAAAATATATATTGACTTTAATTTGAATAATTTTTAGGATAACCTTATTAAACATGAAGGTATTCATAGACGTGATTTAACAAAAACTCATCTCACAAAGTTATCTGAAAATTTCGATAGTAAAAATCATTAGAACGGCTC